CCACTGAAGCCTTCACACGATACTCATGTCTAATGTCTGATAAGCACAGGACTGGTCATGCTCTGTTCCTGTCCTGACAAAATCATGTCCTAACAGCAAAGAACTTGGGTTCAGAGGGAAGGCTGAGTAACTCAGAGACAGTGCCATACACAGGGCTTTTCTCTGCAGTTGGAGCCTGAGTTAGAAGAACATCACAGATGCATGGCACATTGGACAAGGAGCACATGCATGCATTTCAATCATGGATAGCTTACTTTTTTACTGATGTAATTGTGAAATATGTTCTTTTTGCATTCATAATTAGGGGGTGGAACAGATGGTGAAAGCTTAGTTTAAAATAATCTGTCATTAAAATAACCTAGCCTACTGGTAATTCTTCTTTCTAACTGGAGCTAGGTTGTAGGAAAAGAATTTAGAGTGATTTTTTCCCCCTTCTTCATGGGAATGTAGATGGAACCACTAATTTCACAGTGGTTATGTATATGAGAATTGTCCCTAGAATGGCACCATAGATCTCACCCTGAGAAGCTTGGCTGTGGTGAAATATGCATAAAAAGGAAAGCAGAGACAAAACTCCTTTGACAAATAGAAATCCATTTAGCACAATGCATTAGACATTAGTATACCTTCAATCATGAAGCTGTAGTTACATACCCTGCAAGGAAATAACCTCATCATCTGATAAATACCGTGAGAGGCAGCCAGCATTTGGGGTTAAGAAACTGTAGCTTACACTTTATATGTTACACTGATGTCAGGGGATATAAATGATAATTACAGGCTAAATTATTATTCAGAGATGCAGTCACTCCTGATTTCTGTATCCAAGCTTTCCTCCTTGTGTGTACCTCATAGACTTCCTGGGATATGACAATGGATCTATCCCATCAGCCCTGTCTGAATGGCTAAGAACTGTTTTCAGTAATAAGAACACTGTCTTGATAAATCAGATACTCATGTGTCTTTAAAGCGTCTGTTTTACTGTTTCTTCTAAGATTTTGTTTTCCATCTGCTTTGAGGACAACAGATAGATTTCAGCATGGCTTTACAATAAATCTTCTCCAGGAGGGGCTAGCATTAACATTTGTGTAGATTCTTTTTCATCTTAATCCAACCTTAGTTAATAATCAGAAAATTCTACATAGTGGGTAAGAAGATGTAATTAACCCTTTGACCCCAGAATCTTAATTGGCGCCTGTTGAAAACAGTGGGCAGTTTAAAAAAAAATTAAAAAGTAGCCTGCAGTGACTGAACTGCACAGTATATAACAGCTTTCTCAATGCAAAATTTTAAAACATTTCATAGAACTTTCAGATTAATCACATTTGGTTTCTGAGACTCCTGGTTGAATGTTTCCTTCCTCTTCCCACCTTTTTAAAATTGAAACACACAAATTAAACCAATATTGATGCTGCTCTTCAAACTGTTTTAAGCAGCAAAACACAGCTCTCTGTAGACAGGGATGACCTTGAGTCAGAAGGTAAAAGCTATGTGCCGACTGACTTGTCAATCTCCTTTAGATCCGAGTTCACATCCCATTCCTCATTTGAAAGCTAATCAAACCTGAGTTATGGATATTTGTCTCAGACTATAGATGTAATTGACCAAAGTGATAAGCATAAAAGTGAAAAATACATTTAATTAACCAGGTTTCTTAACCTTTGTTATGACTACAACTAATCCAACTAGTTGTTTTCCCCTCTACCAAACTGGCTGTTATTTTTAATTGAATTGACTGGATGTCTTTGTGTCATGTAGACATAGACTCATTTTAATCTCACCAGGAAATTGGAACATGTGTCAAAGCCTCTATTTTTGCCAAGCAAAGCTAGCCAGTTCGTAGATAGCCACTGCTTAACAGTGTCAGATGTTTAGCTTCCAGACATTCCTTTTCCCTGTGACAGTGCCCAAATCACCTCTAATATTTTAGTAAGTACATGGGGTCTGAACCTAAAGTTAAAAGTCACGGTCTCCTTTGTGAGAACCTGAAGGATAATATATAGGTGACAATGACACATTTCTTTAGAGCACTGGATACTTGGGAAGACCATGAAAACATCTACTCTAACGCTGGTATTCCAAATAACAGAAACTTTCCCAGGCTAGATTAGAAATCTGTAGTATCTAAATGTGCAGATAATCTAATAACTCATCAAACAGGACTCAGAAAGTAATTTGCATACCTCTTAGTCATTATGGAATGTGTAATACAAAGGAAGGAACATTGGGCTTGGAGGTACAACTGGATTTAATAAGTTGATTGAGTAGTTGTTAGGTGCTGACTAGACAAAGATACATAAGACATTGTCCTACTGTTGAGAAATTCAGTCTAGTTGGAAGTTGAAGAAGCCAACCAGGACTACACAATGTTGTAAATGCTTTAATTATATTGTGAGAGGGTAAAGGATTTAATCTTGGCACACCACAAGCTGGCGCTGATCTTATCCTGCCACTTAGCATCTCTGAGTCTCCGTTTCCTCACCTGTAAGATGAAGGTTTAGACTATAGGGAGTTATCTCCATGCCAGTTCTATTGGTCTTTCTTTTGTTCCCAGCAAGCCTTGCAACCATCTCCACAGAGATTTTATGATCTCTCTCTGTGTCGTCACTCTCACTTGGCTGTGGTATGTTATTATTTACAAAGCTGGCTTTCAGTTCTCTGTGACAAGACAACAAGCCATGGCTGAGTGAAAAACCTAACAAGGCCTTTTTCTTCGAGGGAAGGGTTGAAGGAGGGTCCTGATCCTCATGAGTCACTCTCCAGAAACATCTTGTTGAAGTAGAGATGTGCAGAAGTGAGAGCCTTCCCAATCTTGTGGGAAGGAACCTTCTCTTCATCTGCACTGTTTCAGTACACTGAAACAAGTATAGGCTTCACTATTCATGAAACCAGCATAGAGAGAGAGGAGACTATGTATGTGACACACACTACACCTGAAACATTATACCTGATGTGTTTATGCCCTGGGTGTTTGCCAGTTTTGTCCAAAATAAGGAACTCCCATCTTTTAGTCAGGGTTTTGTTCCTCACAGTTGATTCCAAAGAACTCTTCAGAGCAAAGGCTACCAGAAGTGACTCAAGAACTCTTGTCATTCGGCTGCCTCTCTGTCTCCTACCCCTAATGACATGATTCTATCATTTGAACAAATTATTCAAAACAAGTGATGTGATACTATTTAAAAAGTCACAGGCTACTTCTTAATATCAATACCTCAACCCTAGAAATGTTGTGAATATTTATCTTTTCATTAATTTATATGTATCAAGAAGAGAATGTTTGTTTTTAGTGGAAGAATAGTTATTGAGTCTGATAGGATTCAAATCCAGACACCAAACATGGAATGGACTTGTTACTTAACTTTGCTCATATATAAAATGTAGATGATAATATAATTATTTCATATGATGCTTGTAAAGGTTTGAAAAGATGGTCCATGCAAACTGCTTGGTGCATATTGCTTAATAAATATCAACTGCTATTATTGTTATTATTGTACTATTTTAATTCAAAACTTGTCTTTCATATAATTTTTGTAAAGGAATATAATGTAACTTTTGAACTGTTTTCAGAACTCACTAAGTCATAGGATGGGGTTCGGGGCCACCCACAATCTCTGACCTGTGTGGTGGCACAGTGAAAAGCAGTCAGGAAACATGGAAATCCACATTTCATATTGTAATGTATATGTATATATGTCCATATACATGCAAACATATATACATAAAGGCATGTAATCATTGTCTTAGTCTGCTCTGTGCTGCTGTAACAGAATACCTGAGATTAAACAATTTATAAAGAACAGAGATTTATTTCTTTATTTGCCGGGGGGGCTAGGAAGTCCAAAGTCAAGGGGCCTACATCTAGCCAGAGCTTCTTGCTGCATGATCCCATAGCAGTAGGCAGAAGGGCAAAATAGCATTTTTGAGAGATGGCAGGATGAGGGGGCTGAACTCATTCTCAGGGGAACCCGCTCTGGAGATAACTAATCTACTGTAGAAAAAATAGCATCAATCCATTTGTAAAGGCAGAGCCTCTTGACTTAATCACCTCTTAAAGGTCCCATCTCAAAACACTCTTGCACTGGGGATTAACTTTCCAATATATGAACCTTGAGATACATTCAAATCTTAGCATTTGTATACACATACATATTTCTTTTTTTTCAGTATTTAAGGAGACTGAAATTATTGCTGGGATTTGAAGAAGTGCATATTTCTATCTGAATTTTACATACTTCTTCCATCTTTCTGTATCTACACAAGTACATCATTAATTTAGTATTTCCACATACCTTGTTCCCAACATCGGATTCCTTCATTTGCAGATTCACACCCTTTATTAACACCATTAAGATTTAAAACTTCTTTTCCTGTGCAAGAACCACTTATGCAGTCTACCTTGTTAAAAATAAATAACACAAAATAAAAGATGTGAGGATGGTGGCGGACATAAGATGCACTTGGACTGAACGCATTTGAAACAAATGTGTTCCCAATTTGAGTGGTGTATTGTGATTGAATTCTGTGACAAAATACTCCCCTTCCCACACTGGAACTGCAGCCCTCTATTAGCAAGGTGGGACAAAGGTTTCAGGAGATGTACAGCAGCATCCTTTTTTCCTTCCCTGCTTTCTTCTTTTGTTTTCAGGAGTTGCAATCGAAAGTAGATCTATCACAATAAAACTTGAATAAAGAGGTTTCATCCCATAAACACTCACTCATAATATATTGACTTTTCCTGTTTGTTCCAACACAGTAGGCACTGAGAATGAGGAGTGCATGATCCTTTATCAATTAGTAAATTATTGATGTTTGTAATAGGTTACGTAGTGGTTTAACTTGCTCCTCATATAGAAGCCCTTTTTTCTTCCAGTTCATTACAATTTTTATTTCTGATCAGCTATTTTAATAGAGAGTCTTGCTGATTTAATCACAGTAGCCACTGAATCTCTAAAAATAAAGGCAATGTGTCATAAAATCAGCATAACCTTATTTTATACATGAACGTAACGTACCTTCATCACAATGGCACAGGCAGAAGGAAGTCCCTGAAATAAAGACAAGTTTATTGTCTTACTTCAGCCCTTTAATTCGTTTATGTATAATACAGTACTAGCAGGGGGAAGGGGGGAGAAATGACTGAAACATTGTATGCACATATGAATAAAAGAAAAAAAATACAATACTAAAAGATCATAGGACTTAAAAATAGCCTTAAGGTCAATGTGTTCTTTTGTATTGGTTGCCTTATTAATTAAATCTCTCTATATATACATATTTGTATTTATTAACCTACTTATATTTTTTTTTCCTGCAGTCCCTGGATGGCTTTGTATTTGCACTAAATCAAGAAGGAAAATTTTTGTACATTTCTGAAACGGTCTCCATCTACCTAGGCCTCTCGCAAGTAAGTTGAACAATTGAGATTCTTGGCGGTGTCTTTGGAGGCTCCGTCAGCCTCACGTTTTTCCTCCTTCAAGAGATATTCTATTTAGCGTGAATTATCAAATTTATTATTTCATGGCCTTTATCCAACTCTTTTACGTCAGTGAGAGATCTGTCAGTGTTGAACGTTCAGAATAAACTTGTGCTCCAAAACTGTGGTCCCTCTGCTCACCCACCTAGGATCATTATTAATTTATTGAAAACAAATGAAGTTTCTTCCCTTGGTTGTTTTGAACTTTGAAACCTCTGTGCCCAGTAGGACAGGGACACGCTAATAGTGCTTTCCCTTGTGTCCTATTACTGTATGTTTATGGAGTACCCTGCATTATCCTGGGAGCTGACACGATGGCAGGAGTCATTTGGAGTCAAGAAATGCTGAAAGACACCGTTAAAATGTGTTTCGAGGAGGGTTCCAGCAAGGATAGATGTTGCTGCCTTTGCAAATGCTTCCTCACGCTGAAAAACAATTTCATAAAGTACGACCACCTTGCATTATTTGCTGCTTAATTTCTCACATGTGTTTGTCAGAGGGTAAAAGCAAAAGAAGATGGCGTCTGATGGGGTCAAGGACAAAATCTTGGATGTTAGTCCTTGGTATTCCCCTGGAACAAGAACACTTCAGTTCTATTGGATTCCAAGGCACGTCTACAGGATGCATCTACAGGATGCCAAAATATCCCGAAGTCAGGTCTGCAATTCAGCTAATTATCCAGATGTTTTTTCCATAAGAGTGCTGAACATCTGGTTATTTGTGCCTATCCAGGTGATTGGCTGAATTTGACCTTTTTCATCTGGTCTGGATGCAGGAAAACTCAGCCTTGGTGGGAGGGATTTTGTATGTGTGTGATGATCTGCCAAGTTGGATAATCTACCTCTCATTCAGATGCCCCTTGGAGCTAAAGAAGGAAATAGATTCACTTATCTTAAGCAGGTCCCACCCAGACTCATTGCTTCTGAAGGTTGGCACAGCTGTAAGGAAGCATTCAGCTTGGCTCAAACTTTTTGGCTTTTAGTGGGTTTACTGGGTGATTGCTAAATCAAGAAAGACATTGGGAAATAATAAAGTAAGAAATTTGGCATTTGAGCAGGGTTGGGGGAGGAGGAGAAACACTGCCAAATTTGGTTATTTACTGTTGAGAATCCAAACAAGGGGTACAGTCATAAATGCTTCCTTGAAGCACACACATCTTTTGTCCACAGTGTGTACAGCAATTCTATCTTATGTGAACTTTAGAAACTAAGCTGGTATCAACTCTGTGTTGGTATCCTTTATCTTGTTGAATATAATATTAATAGCCCTTAATAGACTCTAAGCCTCATCTTAATCTGCCTGGGACCTAAAATTGAGAGTCTCCAATTTTGAAATTGGTGTGTCACAGTGTTGTTAAAATACTGTATTGGACTGGAAACACCACTGTTGTTCAGCGATGCCCATATTCATCTGTTTACGTGGAGTATCCAACAAAGTTTAATAAGCCCGTAAAGAAGAAGGATGAATAATTAGTTTAAGCAGGTAAATGCTAATTAGGGAACTCCTGAAAAGCATCCATTATATACTAGCTCCAAATACATTTTACAGCCCTGGTTAGTGGTGTAATCCAAATTCTGTCAAGGCAACTGCATTTTCTGTAATTGAGATGTGTATGTTTGCTTTGCATAACAGATGGCTCTGTATGCTTAGACTGATAGCTAGGAAAATAATAATTGCATTATTCTGGCCAAAAGAATATTAGCTCTTGGGTGTTGGCCATTTCAGTCAGTCCTCCTGCCAGCACAGCATATGCACATGTATGGATTGGATTTTCAAGGAAATTGATGCATCTGGACTAGTGTGGCCATCTGAAATATCATCTGTTCAAGAAAAATTTGGCTTTAACCCTGTGCTAGTTTCTCCTTATTTCTCTGCTTCTCTACTATAGCATTAAGTCAATCTTTTCCCAAAATCTGAAACAAATAATTGAGGTTTCTGGAGAATGAAGTCTCTAGGTAGAAATGACTCAGTAACACCCACGCAATCGGCCCCAGACTCCCTCATAATGGTTTTGCAATGTGTGTGCCCATCGTCCGAATCTTGACTTGTGGGGGCAGCTCCTGGCGTTACCTGTCCTGTGGCGGGTGTTTGCAGTGCTGGCAGACACAGTCACATGTACACAGGACAAGGGTTGGGCAGAATTACACCACTGAAATGATGAAGGTGTATCAGTAGAGAACAACTTTGCACATGCTAATTTATGTAGAATTCAGAAATAAGGTTAAGGATTGTCCTGTCGGCATGACAACAAACTGATATGATGTTTTTAAATGAATAAAGTGTAGGGGCAAAGTCTATGGTGAAACTTGGGGAGAAAATTTCCAAGCCAATTAGGGCCCAAAGTCTAATAGGGAAATTGAGATCCCCATGCCAAAGCCCTCCCCAGGTTTCTTCAGTACTCCAAGGTGTGGAGGTTGTGGGGCGTTCAGGTGTGATACACAATGGAAATTTACTCTAAGGTATTCAGTTATGCATTTGTTCTTTAACAACACACACACACACATTAAATGCAGACCACATGTTCTGCTGTGTCCTACAATTTTGGTTTAGTGGTTATTCCTCCAAATTCTAGACAGCAAGAAAGAGTCTGTGAAGGTACAGCCGCTCCTTTCCTTTTTAAACAGTTTCATTAAATAATAACAAAACATGTGTCATCAGCAATGACTTACCCAGGGAAATGGCTGAAGAGGGCTGGGCACATGGCCATGTGTTAGTCAGAGCATAGCTGTGACTGCATTTCTAAGTCTCAAGATATTCTTTCTTAGTTTTATTTTCTTTCAACATGTAAATAAATATGTGGCTTTAAAACATCTTATGCTCAGGAAAGAACTAGGATTCTTTTTTGGCTTGTGAGAAAACCAAGGAGGGAAATTTGCACTACGCTCTGCAGGGCAGCCTGGGTGTAGACAGCCAGGGCGGATTTTCCCTTTGGTGGTGCACTGTGTATAGGAGCTGCTGGAGTACAAGCGCATGTGTACCAGTCACTCTTCCTAAAGTGTTTCTGTGTTGTTGTGATGATGAACTCTGTGCCTCCTCAACAGCCATTATCACTTTAGAAAGATAGATAGATGATAGATGGATGGATAGATAAATAGATGATTAATAGAAATAGAAAGATGGATAGATGTTTAACTTAACATCCAAGAAGTAGTTTTAGTTACAGAAGCATGCACAGTAGGCACAGTTGACTTGCTTCCCTGGGTGAAAATGGTCCCCAGTTCTCACTATGAAAGGAACAAACAGCCCCACCTATTGATGCTGATTTGGGTTTGCATATAGAGAAAATGATTTATAGCAGGTGATGTTATTTAGAGTTGTTAAAGACAACTCTACTCCCTGGCTATAATGTAATTGGCAGAAGTGAAAATGAAGAAAGAAAACAGAATGGATTCCTAATGCTGAAAATGTATCTGCGACATGTCGCCAGCTTTTCTGAAATCTATTCCAAAACATAAGGGGCTTAATCACCAGAGAATCCAAAAAAAGGCTTACATGGTAAATAAAAAGCATTTCAAGTTGATATATGATTTAATGTTTGTGGAAGTATTTATGTGTTGGCTTATACCTCCTCTTTCTACAAAGGATTTGAAATAAACATATATAATAAAAATAATGTCAAAATAGAACAAAGGAATAAGAAAAAAAAGATAAACAAAAGTGGATAATCTGTTATCACAAAGTGGGAGAGCACAAACACATGCTTATAAGAGGGTGCATAAATGATCTGCTAAAGCTTCATTTTTTGCTGTGAGCTTCCTGATAACCAAAGCAAAAAGAGAAATATAGTCAACCATCAAAAATAAGGAAGCATTGCTTCTCAAGGAAAGCATAGTTTTTCTGGAACTGAAATCTAAAAATCAGTCTCACATAGGATATTTTTAGAGGCTAAGAGATAGATTATAACTTATTGGTTTGTTTTCATTGGAGTCCACCTTCACAGAAAGGCTGCAGTGACCCACAAGGAGAACACAGACTCGTAAGCTGACCCACCAGTCCCCTTCCCCCTGAGCTATGGGTGTGCTGAAGACCATCTTGAGAACAGCGTCCTGTTCTGGCATCCAGGCCTGTGGTAGCATTGCTAGATTAATGGTTTACATGGTTTCAAGTCAGTTTTCCTTCATCTACACTCAACCCGTGCATTTCCTTCTAAATCTTCATGAGAAAAACAACACTATAGTTGCCAGAGACAGAGGCTCTGGGACTCAGTTAACCACAGGTTAAAAATGGAGTTCACGTCCTCGTGAGTGAAGTGTGAGATGATGGTTGGGATACCCCCCTGAACCAGCAAAATGTTTTCAAGTGGAGCCCTGATTACCGTAAATGAGATCTAGAACAGACTGGAATCAACACTTTTTTAATGGTTGTGACATCATTAGAAAGTACCCTACAGCAGCTGAAGCTTGAGATGTATTCCCATCCCCACCCCACAGTACCAGCCTGTGTGGAATGAGTCACTTTCCCTCCTGTCACCACATTGCCACCCTCACAGGAGACATTTCCTGATGGTTGTGAGCCAGCCGGAAGGTAGCTGCAGACAGAGTTACAAATTGGCTTGTCCCAAGGCAACTTGCTGAAAGGGGTAGGGTGGCTGCTATGTAATGAGAGCTAAAAGAGGTGAAGGTGAAAAAGGGTAATTGTTGTTTAAAATTTGGTCCTTTCTTGTTTTAATGCATGCAGATATATTTACTATGAACTCCTTTCCCCATCCTGTCGTTCATCTCCATATTTTAGATTTCTCTGCATTTGTTATATAGAATGGCAAATAAAATTACAGCTACAGCCCACAAGTACAAGGTCAAATAAATGACAGAGCTCAGTCTATTTGTGAAGCTATTCTGAAAGAGAACCATGGTGCCAAATGTGGTTTATTTGAATAATAAAGAAGAATTAGATTCCCCTGATAACTTGGCTGAGGGCCAATAAATCACTGG